CGGCCGGAGCAGTACGTTGTGTGTATGTTGGAGCGATTTGTGAGAATACAGTCTATAGAAAATACATATATCCTCATATATAGGATTCATGAAGTAGCTAAATAGACACAATGTCAAAAATCTAGTAATAGCGGATAGAAACCTGATACAAGTTTAATACAGTTGAGCCATTTTTTTACAATAATAGTTAAATGCGTGACTCAACTCAGCGAATTAATTGTACGAAACGAAAGCTAATCACAGAGAATTTCATATAACACTAAAACGTATTATTTCATAATACGGAAGAGCGAACTTGCGCGATTTCGGTCTACATGGTAACCCATCTGTAGGGTGTGATTACTGTACAGCAGCGATAGTGTTGACCAATCGCGAAACGAGTTGTAGCGTTCAAAACGAGTCTTGTATTCTGAGAAGCTGTTGCGTCACGATGACTATGCGGGATTGGCGTGCACGTGTCGCGTGTGTGCGTCGTGTGCTATCACGTGGGGCGTGTATTATGCAATTTGGAATAGAATTGTGGAACAACTTCGACAATGTAAGTACGGTAATTGTACTACATAAGACTGTTACCTATAGCTAGGTTCTAAGATTTCGTTCGACACTTTTAGGTCTATCTTCGCGCTCAGAAGAAAAGAAGTTACATTGAGAAGGTTGTCGTGGACTTGTTTAAATATGAAGCCAGTAGTACGAAGCACGAAGCCATAGTTCGTAAAGCTCAACCGTCGAATTGTCAAGTACCCCCTCCTGTTGCACGCTAGGAGACGTAACCATCATTGACTCTTCGCGCATCATTGAATACTTGGAAAAACATTTGCTCAGAAGATGGGTGAATTTTTACTTGAATACATGCGAGTGTTTTTAGCTATGAAATAAGTCAGATGCAGCTTGTAAGAATCGATGATCGTCCGGGGAGCGTCCGTCCCTCGCGTTCAACAGTTGGGCACAAATTTAACCGCTCGACGTATCGTTCACGATATCTTGGCCGTGGGGGGGGGGGTAATTCGAAAACGAGTTGGATGTCGAACCTGGGGGTCAAAGGTGCAAAGGTCAAGAGGTGTAAAAGAAGGGGGAACAGTTCCACGGTCCTGGTAACTTTAAGGTATATGATAGAAATTCAGAATTGCAGCACAAATCTAAACGGGCTCGACCTATGGCTTGTTGATAAGTCGGTGTAAAGCATCATGGAGGAAAAGCAATCACTGGCGCGAAATTGGAGGTCAGGAGTCAAAGGTAATGGCAGTTTTGTTTTTCGGGGAAGTGGATAGGTCTGACGGTATGGATTGAAAAACTTTTGTTTGCAGGCGGTGACCTAACGCATTTTTATGGCTTATTGGAAAGGACATGATATGTACCTCTGACTGACATGCGAAGAGTAAGTTTCGGATACCCTTCTTGACGCCTCAGAGGAGGGTTAAACATGGATTTGTTTACTGTCTGTTAGAAATAATTTGACTGGAGGCCGGGTTTGCGTAGAGAGACTATACATCGCATGGAAGTGTATGATGCTACCAATGCACCGTGGAAATTATAAAAGCTAATTTTGGTTGAAGAAGTTTACGTGCTCCTTAAACGTATAATTTCTGTTGGCATTTATGGTACTATAGTATGCTTAGCATGTAACAGGATGCACTGCCCAGTGCATGCCAGTGCATTGTGGTGGTGGTACTGTTAGTTTTTGCCTGCGTAATTGTTAGCGGTGCAGGCTCTCGATATTGCAGCTGTAGCTTGCGTAAGGTAAATGGATGAGTTGCTTACCTATTCTGTCTTGCAAAATAGTTGGCTACTACGTACGATGAGAGCTCGCATCTTTAATGAAGAAACTTAAACGCAGCGCCATCGTCGTGGCAACTTCGATAACGATCTCCAAGAACAGTATCCTTTGAGAAGGTTAGCTGATACCATTCCTGTGCATTCCACTGTTATCGGGTGTATGTGAAAATTTGGACTAAAGGGTTACGTAAATCCCCACCACTCCGAACCACACTGAGTCCCAGCAATAGAAGACGTAGATGAGCGCTGCGCTCCGCGGCCACTGTTATTCTCGAGTAGAAGAAAAACGGAGAGTACCTCTGAGGAATTGCGCACTCATTACATTGTGTTATCATTTGTATGCATTAGCATAGCAATCATCGTCAGCGCCAGCTCATCGTTATCGTCATCCTGATATCTGAATGTTACTATGTTACATTATAACAGTACGCAGTGGCACTTATATTCTTCCCTAATTTCCTTCCTTCGTATCTTCCTTCTCTGAACCCGAACAGTTTTACTTCAGCGTTATCTACTGCAGGAGTGAGAAAAGGCAAAATCGCGATGAAACAATTGTTTTTCTCTAACCTAACCCTAACCATAACCTAACCCTACAGTGATTAGCGCATAGTATGAGTTACAGGAGGCAGGCTGTTTCCGTGAGGGACAGCATGCCTGCTAGCACTGAGCAAGCTTTCTGCAAGGTTAGCTAGATGTTAACATGGAGAAAATCGGGTTCTGTCTGTACTTAATCTCACTGGAAAGAACTGCGGATACAAGATGGTCCTTCAGAGAAATAGCAAGGTGACGATCAATCAAAAATAATTATTGATTATGATAATTAATTAAATGATTATCAACATGTGCTCAGATAATGGCGCGTTCGTGCGATAGACACCGAGCAAGTAGTCGCTCACTTAAATTTTTGTAAAATTGTTTCAGTATTTCTGTCATTCACGACGAGAGATTTTAATTCCAAAAACAGTTCGGCAAAGCGTAACGACTGCTAGCAAATCGCCAGTTTAATATTTGCAGGCTTATATATATATATAATATATTATATCTAATAGTATTAGTTTGGCATATATAATGATGCTAAACAACGCCACTATGCTCCTGAGCACATATTGTTCAGAATGCTTCGCCACCATGATTATTAGTACGCGCCGGCGATAAAATTAAATTCTGTGACATCTAATTTGCATTTCATCTTGCTATAGGCGTTTATGCGGGAAAAAGGTGCCGCACCTTCAATCGTTAATAAAGAAATACCAACCTAAGGATGTGTATGAGAGAAGGCCTCAGTTAATATCGCTTCTGTTTAAAACAACGGCGGGCGGTGGGCGGGCGGAGGGGGGCGGACGAATCGGAGCGGACGATCGGGACTGGATCGGGATGGATGTATGGATGGATGGATGGGATGGATGGATGGATGATGTATTGATGGGGATGTATGAGTCGGATGGTGATGGATGGATGATGTATGGTCGGGATGGATGATGGATTGATGATGATGGATGGATGGATGGATGGATGATGGATGGATGGATGTGGATGTGATGGATGGATGGATTGATGATAGGATGGATGGATGGATGGATGGAGATGGATGGATGGATGGTGATGGATGGATGGATGGATGGATAAGCTGGATGATGACTGGATGGATGGTGGATGGATTGGATGGGATGGATGTAGGTCGGATAGATGGATGGATGGATGGATGATGATGGACTGATGGATGATTGGATGGATGGATGGATGGATGGATGGATTGGATGATGGATGATGATGATGGATGGAGATGGATGGATGATGGATGATGGATGGATGGATGGATGATGGATGATGGATGATGAATGGATGTCGGATGGATGAGGATGGAATGATGGATGGTGGATGGATGATGATGGATGGATGGATGGAATGGATGGATGAGATGATGATGGATGTATGGATTGGATTGGATGGGATGGATGATGGATGATGGATGGATGATGGATGGATGGATGGAAGGATGATGGATGATGGATGGATGATGGATGGATGATGGATTGAATGATGGATGGATTGGATGATGATGGATAGATGATCTGGCTGAATGGATAGAGGAGGGAGGGAGGGAGAG